CTGCGGTGGGCGCAGTTTGGGCGCGGCTCGGAGCAGAGGCGAGAGGTCCGCGCCGCGCGCGCTGAGGCTGAAGCCAAGAGGGGCTGGGCCGCCCTCGCCGCGCCCGCCCTCCCTCCCCCGGGATGCGGCGCTGAGGCCCAGCATGGCCGGCCAGGGCCCCACCTTCCCGCTACACCGGCTGGTCTGGGCGAACCGGCACCGTGAACTGGAGGCCGCGCTGCACAGTCGCCAGGTGAGGCCCTGTCTGCCGGGACCCCGCCCAGGTCTAGGATCTCCATCCGCTGCCGCATTCCGGCTCCCAGCTCCCAGCCCGATCCGAAGCCCAGATCACCTGCCCTCGCGCTTGAGCCTCTGGTCGTGTCCCAGCGCTGGGCCTTACCCCGCGCGCTGCCCACCTCACACTGCATCAAGCCCTCGAATTCACGCGCCATCACCCTGAGCCAGCCTGAGTACAGACCCAAACAAAACTCACGACCAAAACTCTTGACATTACTCACCTGCATCTATGACCAGTCCCCACCACCAGGAGGCCAGCGCTGCCCGTGGCAGGGGGCAGGAGAGGTGGGCAAGCCCTTCCCATCTGCCCCCTCCCCTCCCCGGACATACGGGCCACTCTCTGCCATCTCCCTGGCCTGACTGCTGTCCTTATTTCCCATCGTGACTGCAGCCCGTTCCTCTAGACTCTGCTTTGGCCCCTGCTCTCTTCCCCTGTACTGAGTGTTGGTCTCCCTCAGCACGACATTGAACAGGAAGACCCCCGAGGGCGGACTCCCCTGGAGCTGGCTGTGTCCCTAGGAAACCTGGAGTCTGTGAGAGTCCTCCTTCGGCACAATGCCAATGTGGGCAAGGAGAGCCGCCAGGGCTGGGCAGGTATACAGAGGGTAGAGGGGCCGCTCGTAGACTGGTAGCAGGATTGGTGGATAGGAGTGAGTTGCCAGGACCGAGGACTTTGGGAAGACTTCCCTCAGCAGCTCGTGCCCTCAGTCCTGCAGGAGGCAGTCAGCACTGGAGACCCTGAGATGGTGCAGCTGGTGCTCCAGTACCGGGACTTCCAGAGGGCCACACAGAGGCTGGCTGGCATTCCAGAACTGCTCAACAAACTCCGCCAGGTACAGCCAGGCACAGGATATGGCCAGTAAAGGAGGATGGGGTACCATGGTGGGGACCACCCTGGTCCCCCATACAATTTTGGGTCTTAGAAGGGCCCCTGGCCCGTGCAGCAGCCTTCCCACCCATGTCTTGAACCCAACCCGGGGTCATGGGCCCTTTGGAAGGAAAGCCTTCACCTGCATGGAGGGGTCCCATGTGCCAGAAATCTCTCCAGAGCTTTAGGCTTTGGGCCTTCTAGAGAATGCAGGTTTCTTGGAGGGAGGCAGTGGAAACAGCCAGGCCCCTGGAATGTGTGGTTCTATGCCCTGTCCGTCTTTTTTCAGGTGTGTAGAGGGGCCCTGCAGGCAGAGCACACTACTTCATTCCCTCCCAGGGGCATCCCTGGAAGGTTCATTGTGTCCCCTTTACCAATGCGGCCTTAGAGACCCACAGTTCCCCCCCTCCCCCGTCATGGCCAGTTGAGTGGCCCGTGTCTTCAGATGCTTATGGCTTTTTTATGTGTAGACTATTTCAGGCCCCCACTTGGTCTGACCTCCCTGGGCAGGGGTTGGTTGTGTTGGGACCATAGCTGGGCCATTGCAGTGTAGCAAGGTCCCCTTGGGTCTGCCGGCCTCTGGCACCGAGCCAGGCCCTTACGGGTAGCTCTGGTCTCTCTCAGGCTCCTGATTTCTACGTGGAGATGAAGTGGGAGTTCACCAGCTGGGGTGAGTGGGGATCACTTGGCTCCCAGGGATACCGACTGGGGCCTTTGGGAAGAGCCCCAGTGACCTCGGTGCTCCCTCAGTGCCCCTTGTGTCCAAGATGTGTCCAAGCGACGTATACCGTGTGTGGAAGCGGGGTGAGAGCCTGCGAGTGGACACCAGTCTCTTGGGCTTTGAGCACATGACCTGGCAGCGTGGCCGCAGGAGCTTCATCTTCAAGGGCCAGGGTGAGCTCTGGGACATGTGCCAGGGGGCATGCTGGCACCCTCAGATTCTCAATGGCTTTCGAGGATGACTCTGTCTCTTCTCTGCACCTTCCAGAGGTGCAAACTAATGTGGGGCATGAAGGGGAATGCAGGGGCTGTGGCTGGACCACCGAGCCCCAAGTGGCAGAGGGTAGCTTGTTAGTGGGGCCCAGCACTGACATGTCCCTCTTCCCTACACCCCTGTCACGGCAGAGGCTGGAGCCCTGGTGATGGAAGTGGACCATGACCGGCAGGTGGTGCACACGGAGACACTAGGGCTTGCTCTACATGAGCCTGAAGCACTGCTGGCCGCCATGCGGCCCAGCGAGGAACATGTGGCCAGCCGCCTCACCTCCCCTATCGTCTCCACCCACCTCGACACTCGAAATGTGGCTTTTGAGAGGTCAGCTGGGGCCTAGCACAGCGTGGGTGGGATGAGAGGTAGCAAGAACCACCACTGAGGAGGCCAGGGCTGTCCTTGAGGTTCCCAGCCAAGGTCCCTGGGAGGCTGAGCCACCCACCAGAGGCTGCTCAGATTGGGTGGGTGGGGGTGGCAAGCTCGGAGCCCCTGCATGCTTGTGGATGCTGGCCACTGCCTTCCCAGGGAAAGGGTGAGGTTAGGATGTCCTGCATTTCTTTCTCTTTTTCCTTTTTTTATTTCCAGTGCTGGGAATGGAACCCAGGGCTGCACACATGCTAGGCAAGTGGACTATCACTGAACTATGTCCCCAGCCCTTTTTTTTTTTTTTTAAATCGAGGCAAGGCCCTGTTAAGTTGCCTAGGCTGGCTCCTAACTTGCAATCCCTCTGCCTTAGACTCCTGGATAGCTCACATCACAGGCATGTGCCACTGCCACTGTACTTGGCTGTCCCTTTTCTTGACTTCTGACCCCACACGTTTTCCATAAAAACAAGCAGTTAGGTTGTGATTCAGGGCAGTGCTGGCTTCTCATTAACAACAGCCAAGTTTGAGGGCAGAGTCCTTTCTAGGTAGCCGGGGAACCAAGAGTGTTATTTCTCTAATTTCTCTAATAACATATGCTCCTGATTGCAGCGGCAGACCTTGGAAACACTTTTTCTGTTTTTGAGACAGGGTCTCACTATGCCGTTCAGACTGGCCTTGAACTCACTAGGTAGCCCAGGGTGCCCTTGAACTCACAGCAATCCTCCTGCCGCAGCCTTGCAAGTACTAGGATTACAGCCATGTGCCACCATGCCCGGTTGGAAACACTTTTAAAAGTAAACACTTTTTGAAGTAGCTTTATTGAGATAAATTTCATATATCATACCCATTTAAAGTATACAACTCAGTGGTTTTTGTTTTGTTTTGTGTGTTTTTTTGAGACAGGGTCTTGCTGTGTAGTTCAGGCTGGCCTTCAACTCACTATATAGTCCAGGCAGTCCTTGAACTTTTGGTGATCCTTGTACTTCTGCCTCTCAAGTGCTGGGATTATAGGCATGCACCAAAATACACAGCCTCATTATTTAATTAATTTATTTATTTTTTTGGAGACAAGATCTCGCTATACCATTTAGGCTGGCCTTAAACTCACTATGTAGCCCAGGTTGGTCTCAAGCTCATGACATCCTCCTGCCTCAGCTTCCCCAGTGCTGGAATTATAGACGTGAGCCACCACATCCAGCCAGGCCCAGCTTTCAAGAAGAAATTTAAATTATTACTTGTCCCCATCCTTTCCCCTAGCCCTAAGCATCTACTAATCTACTCTCTGTCTCTATATACTTCTCTATTTTGGACTTTCATATGAATGAAACTTTAAAATATGTGGCCTTTTGTGTCTTGGCTTTTTAAAATTAGTGTAACGTTTTTAAGTTTCATCCAACTTGTAGCATGTAATTATTTCATTTCTTTTTTATGGCGAAATTAAATTGTATAAACATACCACCTTTGTTTATTCATTAGTCCATTGACAGACATCTAGGTTGTTTCTATTACAGTATTTGGCTATTATAAATAAGGCTGCTAAACGTTTGTATACAAGTTTTGTGTGCATATTTGTTTTCATTTCTTCTGGGTCTGTACATCAGAGTAAAATCCCTCTGTTATATGGTAACTCAATATTTAGTTGTTTGAGCAACTGCTAGACTGTTTACCAGAGGAGGTGTGCCATTTTACATTCTTCCCAGCAGTGTACGAGGGTTCCAGTTTCTTCACATTCTCACCGGCACTCGATATTGTTCATTTTGTTTTGTTTTGGTTTTGTTTTTGAAACAAGTTCTCACCATGTAGTTCAGGCTGCCTTGAGTTCATTATATAGCCCAGGCAGATCTTGAACTTGTGGCAGTCCTCCTGCCTCAGCCTCCTGAATGCTAGGATTACAGGTATGGGCCACCATGGCCAGTTTGGTGTTCATTCATCCATTTTTGGGTTATTGCCATCCCAGTGGAAGTGAAGTGCATCTCATTGTGGTTTTGATTTGCATTTCCCTAATGACTTACAACATTGAGCATCTTTTCATCAGTGATTTATGTGTCTTCTTTGGAGAAATGTCTGTTCATACCCTTTACCCTGGCTGGTCTGATGTAGTAGGTTATCAGAACTTATTAACATAACCTTTACCCAACATTTAAATTGGCTTATCTTTTTCTTATTGAATTGTAAGAGTTCTCTATGTATTTTTTTTTTTTTTTGTACTGGGAATCGAACGCAAGACCTCACACTTGCCAGGCAGGCGCTGTGCCACTGAGCTACACCCCCAGCAAGAGTTCTCTATGTAGCCAAGCTTGGTGGTACAAACCTGTAATCCCAGCACTTTGGAAGGCTGAGGCAGGGAAATCATAAGTTTGAATCTATTCTGGGCAACTTAGTGACAACCTGTCTCAAAATAAAAAATTAAAAGGGTTAGGGATGTAGCTCAGTGAGAAAGCCCTAGGTTTAATCCACAGAGTACCATTAAAAAAGAGAAAAAAAAAAGAATTTGCTGTATATTCTAGGTATAAGTCCCTTATCAGATATATGATTTGCAAATATTTTCTGTGGGCTGTCTTTTCACTTTCCTAATTGTGTCCTTTGAAGGGACAAACATTTTTAATTTTGATGATGATAGACAGTTTATTTTTCTTCAGTTGCATTTATTTATTTATTTTTATGGTACTGGAGATTGAACCTGGGATCTTCACACTGAGCTATCTCCCCAGCCCTTTCTTCTTCTTAATTTTGAAACAGGGTCTTGCTGAGTTGCCTGGGCAAGGCTTGAACTTTCAATCCTCCTGCCTCAGCCTCCCAGAGTACCAGGATTACAGGCGTGCATGACCATGCCCAGCTTGTTGCTTATTATTTCTAATAATATTTTGTCAAATCTAGAGTAATGGAGACACCTCCCCCCATTTTCTTCTAAAAGTTTTAGCTCTCACATTTAGGTCTTTGAGCCATTTTGAGTTAATCCTTTTTTTGTTTGTTTGTTGTTTTTTGAGACAGGGTCTCACTCTGCCTTAAACTTACTATATAGCCCAGGCTGGCCCCAAACTTGCAGCATTCTTCCTGCTTCAGCCTCCCATATGCTGGGATTCATTCATTCTTTCTTTCTTTTCTTTTTTCTTTTCTTTTTTTGTCTTTTTGAGACAGGGTTTCACTATGCAGTTCAGGCTGGCCTCAAAACCCACAGCAGTCCTCCTACCTCAGCCTCCCGAGTGCTGGGAATACAGGCATGTACTATCATGCCTGCCTTCAGACTGATCTCAAACTTACTGTGTAGCCCAGGTTGGTTTGAACTCTCAATGATCCTCTTGTCTCAGCCTCCCCAGTGCTGGAATTATAGGCATGTATCACTACACCTGGCTTACTTCTTTTCTTTCCTTTTCTAATACTGAAATTGAACCCAGACTCTTAACACTGAGCTACATCCCCTTTTTAAAAATTTTTATTTTAAGAAAGAGTTTCCTAAGTCATTAAGTTTCCCAAGCTGGGCTGAAATTTGCAATCCTCCTGCTGCATCTTCCCAGGGTGCTAGGATAACAGGCCAGTACTACTGTGCCGGGCTTATTTTTTCCTTTCTGAGTGGTGTGAGTTTAGTTTGTCTGTTTCCAGCGTCTTTTTTGTTTGTTTGTTTCCAGTGTCTTAATGTAGAAGATTAGGTTATTGATTTGAGAATTTTGTGTATATATGTGGTACTGGGGATTTAACCCAGGGCCTTCACACTGAGCTATATCCCCATCCCTTTTTTATTTTTTATTTTGTGACAGGGTCTCACTGAGCCTCAAGTTGCCCAAACTGGACTTAAACTTCGGATCCTCCTGCTTTAGTCACCCAAAGTGCTAAGATCACAGGCATCTACCACCATGTCTGGATTTTTTCTCTTTGAGTTTTTGAGATAGGGTCTCTCTATATAGTCCAGGGTAGCCTCAGCTCAACACAGTTCTCCTGCCTCAGCCTCCTGAGTGCTACTACACCTGACTTCTCTTTTCCTTCCTTTCCCTTTCTCTTCTTTCTCCTTTCTTCTCTCTCTGTCTCTCTGTCTCTCTCTCATTCATTTGATACTGGGTCTTGCTGTGTTGCCCAGACTGGTCTCCCACCTTAGCCTAAGTAGCTGGACCTGTAGGTGGGCACCTCGATGCCCAACTTTTCTTTCTTAATGTAGGCTTTTTTTTTTTTTGTCTTTTTGAGACAGGGTCTCGCTATGCAGTTCAGGGTGAGCTTGAGCTCACTTTGTAGCCCAGGCTGGCCTTGAACTCCCAACGATCCTCCTGCCTCAGCCTCCCGAGTGCTGGGATTATAGGCATGCGCCACCACATCCAGCTAACGAAGGCGTTTATGGCTGTAGATTTCCCACTCAGCATGGCGTTGACTGTGCCCTGTTTTCATATATTGCATTTTCATTTCAATACATTTCAAAGTATCTTCTGACTTCCTTTTTTATTTAGTCTTTGAACCATTGGTTATTTAGGAATATGTTGTTTACTTTCCTCACATGTGTAAGGATTTTTTAAGATTTTTTTTTTCCTAATTTCATTCCATTGTGGTTGGAAAACATACTTTGTGTGCCTTCTGTCCTTTGAATTTTATTGAGGTTTCTTTTATGGCCTAGCATATGGTCAATTCCAAAAAATGTCCCATGTGTACTAGAGAAGAATTGTATTCTTTTGTTACTGGGTGGTGTGTTCTCAGAATATCTGTAAAGTGTAGTTTGTGCTGTTGTTCATTTCTTCTGTTTCTTTGATCTTTTGTCTGCATGTTCTATTCAGTAGTAAAAGTGGGGTACTGAAGTCTTCAGCTATTATTTTGAATCAGACATACTTTTACCTTTTTGTTATGGAAAATTTCAAATAAGCTAGGGATGTTACTGAACGGTAGAGCGCTTGCCTAGCACACGCAAGGCCCCAGACTCCATCCCAAGCACTACAAAAAATAAAAATAAAAAAATTCAAACATACATGAAAGAAGAACTATTACCATACTTACCCATCATTGCTCAGCTTCCACATTTAGCAGCACTTTACTAGGCTTACTGAATCTATCTTTCCTCCCCTTTTTCCTCCCCCCCCCCAGAGTATTTTAAAGCACATCCCAGATGTCACAGCCTGTCAACAGTAAATGTTTCTGTGTGTGACTCTGACAGAGAAAGATGTTTTTTAATCCAGCCCAGACAGCATTATCACATCTAATAAAGTTAGCGATAATTCCTCGGTATTCTATAGACCCAGCCCTTGTTCAGATGGCCCCATTCCTAAGGCCCCTCTGCGTTCCTCACTGGGAAAGGACCCTGAGACGTGGGCAACCAGAGCTGGCTTGTGGAGGGGGCTTTGGCCAGGGTGTGAACAGCACCTGTCCTCACTGGCTCCTGTTTGGTCTGTCACAGGAACAAATGCGGTATCTGGGGATGGCGGTCTGAGAAGATGGAGACTGTCAGCGGCTACGAGGCCAAGGCAGGAGAGGCCAGTGGTGGGGGCTGGGGTACAGATGAGGCCCAGGAGTTCAGCTCCTTTGCCACACCCAGTCCCAGTGTGGAGGGAGAGGCGGAGTAGTCCTGTGCACCCAAGGGAGCTCACTGGGGCCTGAGGGCCCTGCTGAACCCCACCCCACACCAACTGAAGAGGAGCATTTGCTTCTTGGTCCTGGGCCACACCTGCTCAGTAGGTGACACCTGGGGTCCAGATCCTGCCCTCTTCTCCACTGTGGGGAGTGAGCGTGCCTGTCTCTGCAGCCTGTGCGGGTGAGGCTGGTGAGTGTGGGGAACAGGCTCTCAACCCCCAGCTCTCCCTGTCTCTGCTGCTCCCCAGGTATACAGTGCCACCAACGTGGAGCTGGTGACACGCACTCGCACAGAGCACCTCTCTGATCAGGACAAGTCAAGGAGCAAAGGTAAACCCAGGTGCGCCTGCCTGCCACCCAGTGATATGTAGTCTGGGGTCAGAGCCTGAGTAGGCCCCAGAGAAGCTGGAGGCCTCCCATCCTCTTCACCCATCTGTGTCCCAGCAGGAGGCTCCCAGGTGGGGGGCAGGCGGCGGGGCAGGCTGGCTGTGGCCCACAGTCCCCTTATGCCCCCTTCCCTTCTCTCCAGGGGGGAAGACTCCGTTCCAGTCCTTCCTGGGGATGGCCCAGCAGCACTCCTCCCACAGTGGGGTGAGCCGGGGCTGGGGAGGGCCAGGCCAGCAGGTGGGCGGGACATTGTCTGTCCATCCTGAAGCTAAGTGTGCTCCTGGGGCCCACCCAGGCTCCTGTGCAGCAGGCAGCCAGTGCCACCAACCCCACAGCCATTTCCCCTGACGAATACTTCGACCCCAGCTTCAGCCTGGAGTCCAGAAACATTGGCCGCCCCATCGAGATGTCCAGCAAAGTACAGAGGTGAGGTCTGGGGACTGGCTGGGGACTTCTTTGGGGAAAGGGGCCCCACGCAGCCCCTCTGAGCCTTGATAGACTCCGGTCACTGTGAGGGACCTGCTCTTCCAGCAAGCTTCTCTCTGGAGTCTTCCAGAGGTTAGGAGCCACATGTCTTATCCACAGCCTGAGTACCCAGCAAGCACCATGACCCAGAGTCAGTCACAATTCTTTGATGAACCAGTGAATGAGTGGGTGGCACCACCCTGGATGGTTCCTAATGTAGTGAGCGTGAGCTGGGGGCCAGGCATGCCAGAATGGGAAGGGCTTAGAGCTCTGCCACCCTGGCCTCTGTGGCTAGAGAAAATATCTTCCCTGTCTGGAATCTGATTTCCTCCTCAATGAAATGAAGTCACACTTGCCCACCCACCTCTCAAGGACCTGTGACCTGCAGTTTTACACCAGGCCCAGCACTCTCCAGCCTACCTCATGTGCATCCTCTCAGCCAGGCTGGGATTCAGGCCTCAGCAGTCCTGGCCCCAGGGCTATGCTTACAGCACAGTGTGCAGTGGTGGCCACCTCTATGTAGAGGAGTAAGACAAGGGGTCTGTCTTACTGACCCCTCTGTGGATGAGACCCAGAACACGGCCCACAGCCTGGCCCCTGCTGTCCTCACTCAGACCAGATAAGCAGACACAGAACCATCACGAGCCCCAGTGTGGGCTCAGGTTCTGGGGCAAGTTACTGGGGGAGGCAGACAAGGGCAACTGAGCAGGGAGGAGGGTACCCCAGGCAGGTGACCAGAGGTGGTGGGCCTCAATGAGAAGGCCACCAGAGAGTCCCTAACCCACGTCCTGTGGTTGGCTGGGTAGGTTCAAGGCTACACTGTGGTTGAGCGAGGAGCACCCACTCTCCCTGGGTGACCAAGTAACGCCCATCATTGACCTGATGGCCATCAGCAATGCCCACTTCGCCAAGCTACGTGACTTCATCACCCTGCGCCTCCCCCCTGGCTTCCCTGTCAAGATTGGTGAGGGGGCAGCCTGGGGCAGTGGGATCGGGTACTCCAGGGAAGGGGACCTGCAGGGGTCAAGTGGTTCAGGCCTGGCTGTCTCCACAGAAATTCCCCTTTTCCATGTGCTCAATGCCCGAATCACCTTCAGCAACTTGTGTGGCTGTGATGAGCCCCTGAGCTCAGTGTGGGTGCCAGCCCCCAGCTCTGCCCTCACCACTTCAGGTACCCCCAAGGGGGGGCAGAGGGAGGCTACGTGTCTGTCTGGGGGCTGAGGCCTGGGGCTGAGTGTGGTCCCCCTGCTGCCTCCCCAGGGAGCCCCTTCCCATGCGAGGTGGACCCCACTGTGTTCGAGGTCCCTGAGGGGTACAGCGTGCTGGGTGCTGAGCGCAGCGAGCCCCTTCGAGACGAGGACGATGACCTGCTGCAGTTTGCCATCCAGCAGAGCCTGCTTGAGGCGGGCACGGAAGCAGAGCAGGTGGGGCTGGGGCAGGGTGGGCCCTGGCCTCTGCAGCCACAGGGCCAAAGTGACAGCTTCGGGCTGTGGCTACTGCAGGTGACCATCTGGGAAGCCCTGACCCACTCTCGGCCTGGCGCCCACTCTCCTCCCCAAGCCACTGTTTACGAGGAGCAGCTTCAGCTGGAGCGGTGAGGCCCTGCAGGACCCACCAATGAGGGTCCTGCCTCAGCCCCGCTGAGTCTGAACCCCTAGTGGTCCCCTGGCTGATGGGTATCCGAGAGGTGCTGGTCCTACATTGCCATACCCTCTCCAAAGCCACCCTCCAACAGTGGTGCTGCCACGAGGGACAGGGAGATAGGTCCTGCGTGACCTTACTCATCATCCTGGCCTTGTCCACCAAAGCCAGGCACCCAGCCCCTTGCTTCCTCGCCCAGCCTTCACACTTCGGTCTGCTCTTCCCTCTCTCATCCCTGCCCACAGGGCCCTCCAGGAAAGCCTGCGGCTGTCCACAGAGTCCAGGGACCCTGGGTCTCCTGAGAGGACACCCCTATCCTTGGCTCCCCCAAGCTTTGAGGAACAGCTTCGCCTGGCCCTTGAGTTGTCCTCTCGGGAGCAGGAGGAGCGGGAGCGGCGGGGGCAGCAGGAGGAGGAGGACCTACAGCGGATCCTGCAGCTGTCACTCACGGAGCACTGAGCCACCTGGACCTGGGAGGGTCAAGGCCACTCCCTCCGCCTGCTTTTATAATTTATTTATTTATAAACTGTCTGCTGCTGGGCTTGGGGCCTGGAGCCCAGAGATGGCTGGCAGAGGCACTGAGATGGAAATAAAGAGACCGTTAGCAGCAGGCTTGCTCAACTCAAGTGGGCTGGAGCTGGGGGCTGCTGGGTGGGGGACCCTGATGGAGACACCATGGGCAGTGACCTCAGAGCTGGCTTTGAGTCCTGACTGTGGCCCCTTTAGCTTCTCTGAACCTGTTTCTTGCACTGTAAAATGAGAAGTCAGCCCTCACACCCGGGGCCCTTTGTTGGGAAGGGGAAAGGAAACACCAGGTGCTCTCCTCGGAGCTCTGCCCACCTACTGGAGACCCACATCCCTCTGGCCACCTGGCCTGGCCTTCCACGAACCTGGCCCACGCTCTTGTTGGGAAGATAATAAGGCCAGGCCTGCAGACCCTACTCACAGCCCACTGGGAAGAGCCCCTCCATCCCTGCAGCCCAAGCTCAGCTTCCTGCACCACTCCAGTATGTTCTAACAGAGGACTGTGGACAAGTTGCTTCCTCCTCAGGAGCTGGGAACAGGCTGAGCCCTCCCCTGCTGGCCTCCGAGGTCGTCCTGAGACTCCTCCGTGAGGTTCCTGGACTATCCTCCTGCCCCCAGCCTTCCGTATTGGGGATTGAAACCCAGACCTTCACACTGAGCTCCCACCCTTCCCATTTTTTAGAGACAGGGTCTCTAAATTACCCAGGCTGGACTCGGGTTTAAAATCCTCCTGCCTCACCCTCCAAGAGTGCTGGGATTAGAGCACTCCACCACGCTTAGCTTCCTGGGCTGTTTCTATGTCCCATCCTATTTGCCCCGAAGTTTGCTGTGTCCCGCAGATTCATGAAGAATTGGAGACCGGAACGCCAGCCAGCAAAAAAGAAACGTTTGGGGTGAGGGTCCCCGATTTAAGACCCACTTTGCCTGATCCTAAGACTTGTCCCATTCCTAGTATCTACTTCTGTTGGTGTGTAATAGGGAACCCCCCCCCCAAAAAAAAAAAGGCTCCGGCTCAGGTGATCTAACTGGGCGGGGCAGGGAAGGCTGGGTCACTTCCTGGGAGCACCGGGAAACAACGGAGGAGTACCAGGTTGGGAATCCGCACCTGCGCCTCGCCCCGCCCCCAGCGTGGATGGGGCGGGGCGGGGCGAGCCACGAGGGGAGGGGCCGCGGCCGCTGCCTGCGGCCTCCGCATCCCGGGCTGGCCGCGAGACTGGCCCTTTAAGGGCCGCCCCGAGGAGGTGCCAGGCCCTGGCGGCTGCTCTCTCCTTCCTGGTCTTGCGGGGCAGAGACTGTCTTGGGACTGTACGAGGGGTCCTTGCCCAGTGCCTGCCCAGACACCCTCGGCCTAACTCCATGGCCCTGGTCACAGTGAGCCGCTCGCCCCCGGCCAGCGGCCACTCCACGCCTGTGGGGCCCGCGGTGAGTCTGGCTTGCTCCCATGCACGCAGTTAGCTGCTAGCCGGGCCTGGGGGAGTGCGTCTGCCCGCGGCAGCCTCTGCTTACGCCTGGGGGTGAGTAGAGGGGGACCTCGAGGCTCAGATTGGAGGGGCTTGGGGGCGTCTCGGGGCTCCTAAGAACTTGACCGAGGCCAGATCTGGAGTCTTGAGCGCCAGACCCGTCTGCAGAGGCCCAAATCCACTCTGAGCCCACACCCTCGGCATCCCCAGCCCACCCGTCCCGCCACACCTGGACTTGGGCTGGGCTGGGGCTGGGCTCCCGAGTGCCTCCTGATAGGGAGCGGGGTGGGGAGAGACAGGAATTGGCATCTGACACCTCCCCCTTCCCCCTCACAAGGGCTGGGCGTTCGCCCCACTGCCCCCCAATTGGAGCCTCGTGAGAAGGGGATGGGAGGAGGCGAGATCTCTCCGCCCTCACTCCCCCCTGGGGGCTGCTTCCTCAGCAGGACCCAGCAGCCAGGCGCAGAAGCCAGCTCCAGCGCAGGTTAGCACCTTTCTCTGGACATAGACGCCTGCGTCCAGCCCCCAGGACTGGCCACTCTCATCCAGGTGTTGGGAACAGAGGGCTTCCTTAAGGGCCAAAACTCCACAGTCCATAGGTGGGGCCTGGTTCGGGTGGGCTGGGCTGGGGGCCCTGCTGGCATGTGGCAGAACCCACAGGGCTGCCCTGGCTTCCACCTTCACCTGGTCAGCTGGTGCTCCTTTACCCACTACCCAGGACACAGGCTTAGGCCAATGGCTCAGGCCAGTGGCTCAGGCCAGTAGCCACAAGCCAAAGAGCAGGATGGGACAGCAGGGCCTAAGGAGTCTTGGATCCCCAACCATCTTTACCTTTCCTCCAGGTGGGCTGGTGGGAGGTCTATCCAGGCCAGCTAGAGGGAGAGGGGTCTGAGAGCCTAAGGCTGGTTTTCCAGGTATGGTGGCCATCACTAGCCCCCTGGTTATCCCCACCCCTGCCCTGTGTACTCTCTGGGGAAAGGGCCAACTATCCACTTCAACAAGCCTCCATGGGATTCAGATACTCCCTAAAGTGTGAAAACCCCAGGCTATAATGATTCCCCCGGCCCTACCAGGCAGAGCTTTGCAGTACTCCGAGGAGCTGTCCTTGGACTGCAGGATGATGGAGGGGACACTGGTGAAGCACCTGAGGCCAGTTCTGAGCCAGTGGAGGGAGCCCCTGGTGAGGAGCAGCCCCAGGGGGACCAGCCAGATGGACAAGGGCCGCAGTGTTCCAAGAAACAGGAGCAGAGGCAGCACCTGCACCTCATGGTGGAACTGCTGAGACCACAGGATGACATCCACCTGGTGAGGGGTCACACAGAGCCCATCAGAAGAGGGGGTGGGAGCTTTGTGTCTGGGGAGCAATGGTGTGAGGGCAGAAGGCACTTGTGCAGTAGAGGTTACCCAAACCCCATGACCCTGCTGTTTCAGGTAGAGACATCCTAACAGGGGTGGGTCATGTCCACGGGCTCTGGGGATCTGTAAAAGGACAGGGGAGGTTTGTCCTGCATAGCCAAATAAGGCCAAGTTAGGCTCATAGTGTGGGAGTCACACAGAGGGGCACTGTTCAGCCAGGGGAGATATTGCAAGGTGTCCAGAAGGTACCTGCCAGGGGCTGGTATGCAGGAGGGCCAGGCAGAGGGAGAGAAGCAGCTATAGAGAGGTGGCCTCCGGGGGCGCCTAAGGGCTGGCTCCCAAAAGCCTGTGGAGACACCTGCTGTCGGCAGCACAATGTAACAAAGATGCCCTCCTTCCCAAAGCTGGGTTTTGAACAGAGGTACCGAACTGTGCTGTGAAATTAAGTCCTTAATATTTCTTGATGATAACATTTTAATATTTATTTAGCAGTCCTGGGCATGGATCCCAGAGCCTCATATATGCTATGCAAGCACCCTACCAGTAAGCTACACCTGAGGCATGATAAGCATTTCTTGAATGAAATGATGGTAACTGCAAGTGAGAGGATCTTTAAAAACCTTTCCTAGAGCTGAGCGTGGTGGCACATGCCTGTAATCCCAGCACTTGGGAGGCTGAGGCAGGAGGATTGTTGTGAGTTTGAGGCCAGCCTGGGCTACATAAGTGAGTTCAAGGCCAGCCTGAACTACATAGTGAGACCCTGTCTCAAAATGACTAATTAATTAAAAACCTTTCCTAGGCAAAACCAAAAATTGGGCCACTCTGTCAGTCCCATTGCCCCATTTTTCCATACTCTCCCTTTAAGAGTCTTTAATCTTTGTACTCTGGAAGGTTGAGGCAGGAGGGTCAAAAGTTCAAGCCCAGCCTGGGCAATTTAATAGGATACTGTCTCAGGGGCTGGGGATTTATCTCAGTGGCACAGTGCCTACCTGGTAAGCGTGACGTCATGAGTTTGATTCCCGGTACCGGAAAAAAAAAAAAAGGATACTGTCTCAAAATAAAAACAATTTTAAAAGGACGGGATATAGCTCTGGGTGAAGGACCTATGTTCAATTCCCTAGTACAAAATAATAATAATAATTGGACCGTGAAATCCAGCTGTTGGGAACTACTGGATTGTAGCCACTGATCTTCCATCTGGGAGTTGGGGTGGGATGGGGGTGTGGGGCTGCCCCACCCTGAGCTATGTCCAAGTCGGGTGGAAAAGAAGCAAGGTCCTCACTGTGACTCTGGGCTCCTCCTCCCATCTTCCCAGGCAGCCCAGCTAGAGGCAGCCCGACCCCCAAGACTGCGCTACCTGCTGGTGGTTTCCACACGTGACTGTCTCAATCAGGAGGAGACTGTCCTCCTGGGTGTAGATTTTCCTGACAGCAGGTAGGAGTGGGGTGGGGGTGGCAAGGAAGTGAGGTACAGGGGACAACAGCTCTCCCTGTGTCCCCCCCCAGCTCTCCCAGCTGTACCCTGGGCCTGGTCCTGCCCCTCTGGAGCGACACCCAAGTGTATTTAGATGGAGACGGGTAAGTGGTGGCGATGGGAAAGGAGGGACAGGGAACTGGGGAATAGCAGAACTGGAGCTGGGGAACTGAGGCCTACTCTCAGCTCTATCTCAGATCGCTGTGTGATCCTGGGCAAGTCACCTGCCTAACCTGGACCTCAGCCTCCCCACATCTGACAGAAGGGCAGGTTCTCTGTCTGAGAGCCTAATGTTCATTCTACGGCACCTGTCTCCTACAGGGGCTTCAGTGTGACATCTGGAGGGCAGAGCCGAATCTTTAAGCCTATCTCCATCCAGACCATGTGGTAAGCACCGCAGGGCCCAGCCTCCTTCTTGAGAAATGGCTGCAGCGCCTGAGTGAGGGCAGCAGAGAGGACAGAGTGACCAGTTTCTCCTCCTGTTCCAGGGCCACTCTCCAGGTGCTGCACCAGGCATGTGAGGCAGCTCTAGGTAGCGGCCTTGTGCCCAGTGGCAGTGCCCTCGCCTGGGCTGCCCACTACCAGGAAAGACTGAACTCTGACCAGAACTGCCTCAATGAGTGGATGGCCATGGCTGACCTGGAGTCCCTGCGACCCCCTAGTGCAGAGCCGGGCCGGTCAGTGTGTGTGGGGACTTCAGTCAGGGGAGGCAGAGGCAGGGGTGTCTCTCAACAGAGAGGAAAGGGGCCCTTGACTCAAGGGCTCTGCTCCCAGGCCCTCAGAGCAGGAGCAGATG